ACAGACTTTAAAATTTTCTACTATCTTTGGTTCAGATTTACATCCATGGAAACAATGATGGAATAATTACATCAACATTTACATATTCATAAAACTGTAATGAAACTTGTTCCTATAGGATCTTTATTAACAAGAGCCTTAACCTCTGTTGGAATGTAGGCATATGTCGGTCTATACGCACATGTGACCATCATAAGGAAAAAATTGGGCTTTTGTCACTTTTGCCTTTTTTTATGACGTATGAAGCCTGGTGAGTTTGCCTTTGTTTTTGTAGAAGGGATAAGGGCAGGGAGATTTTTGCAGTTTTATACACTGGAAAAAGGAAAAATAGTGTGATGACAACTGTAAGCCTGGAAAACTGAATAACTGGGAGTAGAAGGGATTTTTAGTTAGTTTACTGAAAACACTGACTTTAATTTCTGTTTCATGCTAAAACTAAGCATACACTTGGAAGAAATGGCTTGAACACTCATCCTGCCAGTTAAAGCATAGGAACACAAAATAGACCACTCTTTCATGGGAATTTCTTTAGCAAGATTGAGGACTACAAGGCACAAGACACTTGATATTTTCAAGGCAAAACCAGCAGGGGAAAAAAAACTGGAGATAGGGAGCATAAAGCACAAAAAACCCAACATTTGTTTCAAGTTGCTCTTGTGCATTGTAAAGAAACAAAAAGGGGCCTCATTAAAAAAAAATCCTTTGTGGATCATCTTTCAAATACTCAGATGCAAAAAAGCACTGCTGTTTTCTTCTGTTTTCTCTGACAGTCATAAGTTAAAATGCAAGATTCAAGCAGCATGACCATAAATATGTTATACTACAGCATGGCAGGAAATTAATCTCTTTCAATCTTTTTCTATAGGCTCATCACTGCTGTAGCCAGGCCTTGTATTTCCTTTGCTTGGGAAATGGTGCATATATTGTGTACTACACAGCTCCCATTGTATATCACAGGAAAATGGCTTGCCTCTGAATGAAAACATGTTTTGCTGTGTTTGAATATAACAATCCCAATTCAGAAAAAAGTATACACCCCCTGCCAAAAAAAATCTAAAAATCATTAGGATCCAGAGAGAAAAATGCACAGCAATGAAGATGACTTGAGCCTAAATCACATCTCTTTGATCATGCAGGGTATTTAGCATAAGTCTCTTACCTGGAGCAGTTTTGTAAGACACTGTTTTGGTGGTAGGCAGTGGAGGGGCACTCTTTGTAACAGGGGTCTGTGCCATCTGTAGACCGTGCCTTTGTCTCTTCAGTTCCTCCTCTCTTTCCTGGGCTGCTCTGATTTCTTCTTCTATCATGGACAAAGTCCGCTGCTTCCTTGACCTTAGCTTAAAAGGACCCACAGTCACCTCTGGCTCTTGTGTAGCCAAAATAGAAGCAGTACTTCTCAGCTCAGCTGCCTCAGAGTACTTGCTAAAATAACTGACCTCTTGTCGGTTTTCTTCTACAACGAATGGCTGGCTGACAGTAGATACTGGGGATGGTTGTGAAGCCTTCCCTTCCCTGAGTCCTGTGTCTTCATCTGTTGAAGTCTTTGGTATTGTATCCCTTTTATCTTGAACAGGAGAAGACACCTGAGGTGGCTCAAACATTGTGCTCTGCTGCTTCTCAGAACATAGGGTTGTGCTGACTGTTTCCTGTTCTTTCACTGGGTTCTGCTGCTCCACCGTATCCTTTGCTTCCTTAGAGCCTGTTTTGTCAGCTTGCTCAGCTATGGCTTGTTGAATTGCATTTTGAACGAGAAGGCCAGCATGATATTCCAACTGGTCATCTATCAGCATGGAGTCTGCCAGTGTAGAGGAAGGGGAGTAAAAGCCTTGATCACTATATGATTTAGAAACACCTTCTACTCGGCAGTCCAAGGGGGTTTCTGCCTGGGGGGTCTGGGGCAGAGAGAAATCTGCAAGTGAATTTTCTTGGAGGGCATTCATGGTCTCATTGGAGGCACCACTATCACTGATATTGTCCATGCTGAAATCATTGGAAAGAGTTTCCAAAACGGTGGTATCCTGAGATCTCACAGACAGATCATCCAAACCAGAGTCCAGCTCCTCTGGAGGGGAAGAGACATTAACCAACCTTGAAAACTGATCTAAAATGCCATGGTCATCATCCTTTACCACTGTAAAGACTGCTCTCGCACTCATGAATTCACCATCCTCTGCCCACAATTTTGATGCCTGTTCAGCTTTTGAGGTATCGCTATGAGACAACTCTTTTATTAGGTCAGTAGTAGCATTCTGAATATTAATATGAGAATCCTCTAAGATACAGGAGACCTTCTGAGCTTTCACAATAGGTATATCATTGCTCTCAGGCTGTCCCAGTTGCCCACACACAAAAGCAGGTCTCGTCACAGAAGCCGCTGGTCTGTCAACTTCTGATGGGCCAATGGTTTTGTAGAAGGGTTTGATGGAGAACATTCTGGGAGTCCCTGATTTTCTTGGAGCAGTCTGACTGTTAGACAGACCCAAATTTTCCATCAACTGAAACTGCTTCCTGGCAGCTGAAAAATCTATTTGTTCTGTGACAATATCCTCTTTTTTAATAGAAGCTGGCTCTGGAGGTACAAAGGGAAAGGACACCTGTTTTGGTGATGTCGGTGTTATGCTTTGCTGGTGTTGCTTCTCCTTGCGTTCCATGTACTTCTTATGGGATTCAAGATGCTCTTCGTCTATTTGTTCCTCCAAGGTCTTCTCCTGGGGTGGGTTCCACCACTTGGATGCAATGCCAGGGTTCTTCTTTACAGCTTGGCTTTTAATAAGCTCCCTCCTCTCCTTTTCAAGTTCTATCATTTCCTCAGATGGCCTCACTTTCCGGACTCTATACTTCTCCTTTTCGTTATCTTCTTCAAAGAGCTTGGATGGCTTCTTTTCTTCATGGAAGGCCCGAAGCTCAAACTTAGCCTCTTTCTTAATGGTTGTTAAAGTTAATTCCCCATCATTAGAAACTCTCGAACTTGTTGCAGAACTTGGGCTCGCTGGCACTTTTGGATTGTCATAGACTTCTTCGTTTAATCCAGCTGAAGAGTGGCCATTAGGCTTCAGTTTCTCAGCCACTGTGTTAGCTTCATTCTGTTCAATGACTGGGGGTCCTTGTCTGTGAATTATTTTGCCTTCTGTTTCATTGGGTACTGAATCAGTGGTAACACAAACAGATGGACCAGAGCCATCCACAATGATTGTGCTTGGTTCAGGGGAAGCTGTCCCATTAAAGGCGTTATCGGTAGCAGAATCACAGCAATTTGCTTCAAGTACTTCATCTAGGTATCTGATTTCTTTAGCAACTTCACTGTCCAGGGATTCATGCCTGTCCTTAAATCCATTGTGACTCGTAACAGGGGAAAAGAAGTGGGTTTGATTGTCTGCTGCATGTGGTGAAGCCACCGAGGTGATGCTTTTATGTTCAGAGACTGGGACTTCACATTCCATTTTCTCTCCCTTTGTTGCACGAATACTCACAGCCTCCAGGAAATTGGCACGATTTTGGTCTCTGTCTTTTCTTAACCGGATGTCATCCTCAAGGATTCTGGAAGATTTCTAAAAGAGAAAGAAAGGAAAACCATATTCAAACTCCTATGAAGGAAGAGATTTTCTTTTATGCAGAAAGCTAAAAGCAAAAGTAGTAAACACCATCTGGAAAGCAAATCCTAGTGCTTCTTAAAGTTCATATTAAAATAGCCCTTCACCGTATGGGAAGGAAAAGCAAATCATTAATAGTTTCTTACTAAAAAATATACATCTTTGAAAAATTTGGAAAATGTTGCTGAAACAGCAGCAAAGCTATCATTTAAATATCTCCCATCTGGACACCACACAGTTTCTAAGTATTTTATACAAGTGCTCAAGTTTGTTAATTAGAGTTTAACTTTGGATTTTCGAATCATAAAGATTAGAAAGTTTTTCTGGAGAATTGTATAACGTTACTATCCTCACTACCTTGCAAATACAGTATATAGTGCCTTTCATCTCAGTATTTGAAAGTGCTTTGGAAACAACAAATCAGCCTCACAACACCTCTGTACCTTAGATAGGTATTACTGTCCCTCTGTTAAAGAACAGGACATGAAAATGCTGGGCAATTTTCTCAAGGTCACATGGTGGGTCAATAGCACAGGTCAGCTTACAGTCTACATCTTTTGCCTTCCAGATGCCTAGTCTAAAAACCAGGTGTATTTGGCTCCATTTTCCCTGATGTGCTATTGACCTCAATGAATGAAGTAGTGTATAGTAATAAATACTACTCTGGTATAGGCCAGATTCTGCATCTCATTCAGACAAATAACTTGACTGAAATTCATAGGACTACCCACAAGAGTAAAGTTTGCAGGAGCAAACTCTGTTTGAATTCTTAACAAGTAATCAAGGGTTAACTCATGAATTCCAAGATTTTTTGGAAAGTCAGCAAAGAACCAGCTAAACATACCAAAATGAGGTATTTTGGAACCTTTAAAAAGGTAGAGGAATTCATTGACTCATCATCAGAACCTAGTCAGGATTTTAAAACAGACCCAGCCTGAAGTGGCACTGCTATTCATTTGGTCTGACTTTTTAGAAAACAGAGAAATGACTTATTTGTCCCCTTTTGACATCTGGCCCCTTTTCCTCCTTAGGATTTTTATAGAATGACTGCTGAGGCAATGGCTTAAAAAAAGTCACAAGTTTAACTGTGGAGCATAGTTTGGATTCACAACGGCAGCTATTGTCAGCTAGTCACACAGGCCCGGCAGTCATTTGTCATGTAAGCTATTAATAAGCACTATAGTAGAAAGCACCCAGCTGCAGACCAAAAGGCTAGTTTTCTAGGGCCTGGAGGGACCACAACTCATATGGGCTTGTACAAGCATGGAGGGTATTTGGCACTTTGCAGCAGTTTCCTCAAAGAGCAGCTCTCTTTTCCACACCTCTTTTGAAGGAATTCCCTTCAACAGAAAGCAACCAATATATGAAGTGCAGGCATGAGGCGCTATACATTTGAAAAGAAACTGCCAAATTTAGCTACCAGATATTTTCTGCTTGTTAACTGTATTTAAACTGCAATTTAAACAAAAAGTCTTTTTGCCTGAACCAGCATTAGTTCTGCTTTTGGTACATCCCGACTTACAGTTTCTGAACAGAAATTGTTTAAATTCATTTTTAAAAATAATTGTTATATTTTTACCTGTTATAAACCTAACCTTGGCTCCAATTCTTATCAGTAAATTCTTCCTACATTGATAGTATCAATAAACTATTACTATAAATGCTGATTTGCCTCAGATGAATACAAGGTGACATTTAGAGGGGGCTAATCTGAACATCAATATTAGGTACAACCAGGTGCCAGAGAGGTGACCAGTGATGCTAGAACATGGAGAAGACTCCAGATGCCAGTTCAGAAATCTCTCGTAGGGAAATCATAAGCTCTTGCCTTTCAGTACCCTTTGCACCATTGCAGAAGTTCAAAGGGGATTAGAAGAGACAAAGCATATGGGTCTGATTTTTGAAGACATATGGGCAAGCCCAAACTTCCACATCTAACCCCACTGAACCAAATTTCCTGGCTCAAGCCCCTTTCTACTCAGAAAATAGTAGGACCATCCTTGACATACCCTTTTTCTACCAAAAGCCCTATTCTCCTTTGCCTTGTATCAGCAAGTATGTTACAGGAGATTCCTATGACTGAAGACTGACAGCTTTCCCCAGAACTGTAACTCTCGCCATATCATTTGTATTAAATCCTAAATCGCTACAGATTCCTTTATATCTAACTTTAAAACACAAACAAACAATATTTGTTGCAACATGAAAGAAACAAATCACACTTGTTCTGTGTACAGAGTTCTTGGTGACAGCAAACAACAGAGGCTCAGGCTTAAGGCTGCAACTCCATTTATTATTATTATTATTACGATGATGATGAATGATGATTGGGGTAAATCCTGCTCCAGCTGACCTACTGATGTTAAGGCTAGAGAGATAGTCTGCTGGAGTATCCTGTACAAAAAGAACTCTGTGGGGGAATGAACAAGATCCTGGCAATAGTTGCAAAGATGCACTCCAGGGTACATTCTGCTGCCATAATACGCAGAAGCAATGTGTTTGCCCACCAGAAGCCTGCTAATTCCCGATTGTGATCAGACCAGCCACAGTAGCTGGTTTTGGGGCTGCTGGTACTTAACAACCAACAGATCATGTCTTTCTTCAGTGGGAAGAAGATATTGTAATGAATCTGCAACCTACAACTTGTAGGCTACAAGTAACAGACATGCTTGGTCATGGGATAAATTGCATCTCCCTGCAGAATTGAGGACCATTTTACACTGCCTTTCAATACCCCAGCCCAAGAAAGCTAAGAATCTTTAATGCAAATTCTGCCTGGGAAACATGGGAGTGTTGCATGAAAGCTGAACTCTTTCCTTCCATGTATCTGTCTGTGTTCAAGCTTTTCTCTATCATTTCATTTCAGAGCATCTGCAGGCTATTTTAGTACACAGTAGAAAAGGTTCAGAAGTGTTATCACTCAGTTACCTAACCTGAATTAGGTAAAAAATCATATCCCCTTATAGCAGCCACAGCCCATAATTACTGCAAATACATATAACTACCAAATCAGGACATGCAATTATGGCATTACATAGTTATTACGGCATTACATAATTACTTAAGTACAGGCAACTGTGTAATTAGTACAGCACAGGCAATTACGTAATAATTAAAGTATCAATTTACATACTAAAAAATACAAGAGGATAATCAGGAAAGCTGGGAATTATGTGAAGGGGTGCCATCTCTGCCATGCATTCAGATGAAGAAACAGCAAGAAATGGCTGATTTTTGTTTTCATAAGGGAAGGGAGACTGGTCAAAAAGGAAAAAAAATATTCAGTCAGTTGTATTTTCTTCATAGAATTAAAGAAAATTTCAAACAGCTCTTGTTAACCATGTGTTAGCCCACTGAACCAGGAGACAACATATTTATTAATTATATTAAGGCAGGTTGAAGAGCTGGCCAGCAAAATTTGCAGCTGAGGTCAAACAAGCATTTAAACTAGTTAAGACAACTGAGAATGTTAAGAGGAGTACAGAGAATCCAGTAAAACAATGTGTGACAATAAGCATACTCTTGCTCACAAAAGCTTATGCACCACTGATTCAGTTAGTCTATAATGTGAATCTCTACCCTGCCTTCTACCCAAAAAGAAAATTTATCAGGCAGCTGCTGGTTGGAAGTAGATATGGAAGGGGAAGGTGGGCGAGGTGCATAGGCAATGCCATGTTACCTAACTCAGGCCCTTGCCATTTGCAGGAAAGGCGAAAGGCTGGGATTTCTACGTCAGTAATGGCTCACCTTTTTGGCAGGTGTGCCACAAGACAAGCCCCCACCCCACTCTGAGTGTTGCTCTGCCCCATGACCAACCTGCTCTTTTGCTCTACAACTCCTTCCCAACGTGCTGCATGCCAAACACAGTGGACTGTGTACCATGACTGGCTACTTCAGTTTTACAGTCTATTTGGGGAGGTGTGTTTTCTAGCAGGTGTGACAGTGGGGTCGACAGATGTGACAACTGAAACATTTTCAAGTGAAACACACCTGGAAACACTTTGAAAAGGAAAGGCTTTAGCCAAGGGACACATGTACACCTTTGTGCCATTTCCTAACTGACATGTTTCCATATGCTGCAGCCTCCACTAGAGCCTGCCAGGGGGTACCATGTCTGGCTGCACCCGTACATTTGCACTGTCAACCTCTTATTACTACTTGAAGGAAGAAAGAGCTTCTTGTCTCTCCTCCTCTTTTCAGAGCCCTCTGGCTGCTACAAGAATATAGAGTCCTAGCTAGGGCCAATGCTAATGTATTGATCAGCACATGCCATTAACTCTGAGTTACACTTTTCAACACAAGCATTTTTTCTCCTTTTAAGCACAAGACAACGGGGCAATCAGTGTCATTTCTGCAACACTGCAGTGCTTTGGTAAATGACAATTATTAACAGCTTAGAAAATTATTGGCATTTTTCCTTCCTTCTTGAATTCTTCAGCCACAAAGTGTGTGTGTTTGAAAGAGCAACTCATTTGCAGAGGGAGGAAGAGGGGAAGTGGGTGTATAGCTAGCAAGACCCAGCAAATGTTTTCCCAGCTCCTTCCTTTGTTTCACTTGAAAGAAAATGTGCATGCACAACAAGCAGGAGACTATCCTTCCAAGCCACAAATGAAGAAAATATGTCTAATCGGCACATTTAATTAACAATATTTTGTAGTTTACAACACATTATTTACCAGCTTAGAAAAGCTGGGACACTAGCATCTCATGGTGTGGTGGGGGGAGTTTCTATTTACCTGGGGACAGATCTCAGGGCCAGATCTCTCTTCTTACCACTCTGGACTTTGACAGCTTCTGATACTTCAGCATTCTCTACTTTTTGAAATGTTGCCTTCCATTGGCTGGCACAGTTGTGTGCTCTCATGATTTTCTTCCTATCAATCTGATCACACTTTTAGTATTTCATGAGGGATTTGCTTTGCCTCAGCCTCTTTCTGACTCCTCTATCGAAAAAAATC